CTACTGTGCCTTTTCTGAGAGGTGTTCCTGTGACAAGGACAAGTATGTACTGGGAATACGTGCAGAGAACATCTCGTTGTTGATCCCGATCAGTCGTCTGATTCAAAAGTTCACACATGTGACTGGGCGATGTTGTTGTTTGCTCATTTGCGTGCCAAACCGAATGCTTCTGTTGGCATTCAAAGATTTCTTATCAGCAACAGGGCACAGCTCTTTTTTGGGGCTCCAGGGAACGATTGCCCCTTATCAACTTCTCTTATAATATTCGGCAGTCAATTCGGCGTTTTTCCTCCACTGAGAAAAATACACTATTATAAATAGAACCATCGAAGCAGTCTCGCAAGTTTAGAATCATCTATGGAACTGTGGTGCTTTTTTGCGCAGAGGGGTTGGGGTGAAATTCATTTCAGGGGAGTCTCATGGGTGGGCGTGTAGTAATTCTGCCTAATTTTGCCCAATTTTTTCGACCTCTCGATACGAACGATACTTTTGGCACTATTCCATGTGTGCGAAGGGTAAATCGGCCCATCGAGTCAAAAGATGGCTAGGTTCATATAGGGGGGGCCAAAAAAAAAAGTCATTTCGGCCGAGCCACATATCAACGAAGTTTTCGCAGCCCAGACAGGGGAAGTGGATATGAGTACCAGAGTGGAAGATACCCAAGATCTTCCTCTATAAGCTGGAGCAGGCTGCCGCCAATCGCCTTCATGTACGCCAAAATATGAAGTCATCTCCAGTCGCGGCCTGACTGGAGAACACCTTTGGAATTCACGTCGCCTCCAAACAGGCTTGGCGAAACTTTCTTGAATGAATCATCATCCACAGATAGCTACCTGGAGGTCAGTACTCTTGATCTGCAAGACCTCCCACATTGAGCAGCCTTCGTCAACTTCGCTACGGTCTAGGACATCATCTTCACCGTATTCGCCGAGGCGCGAGTTGATGGTATGGACCGGGGTACCTGGAAAGGAGAAGACGATATTTTCTTTGTAGACCCCGACTGAAGGTGAGCGCTGGCGGTTACATCAAGTAACTCGAGAAGAATATCCTCCCTACATGTGGTCGCCCGTACCTTCTTGGAGACCTTGTGCTGCTACAGGTTTGGGTGCCACCACATGGAATCGAAGGGTTTTGGAAAAACTCCCGCCTACTTCGAATGGAAGGGCGTTTCGTACCTGAAGAAGATGTAATATTGAAGTATGTCCCCTGACCTGAACCCACTCAATTACCTAGTTCGGGCGGAGTTCAATAGGGTGGTCTACGGTGGCGGAGAAATCGACTACCCCGCTGATCTCAGGTACCACATCGCGGTCGCGTGCCAGAATCTCTCGATGGCGCTTCTCCAGAAGGCTGTGGCGGAGTATCATTATAGTATTTAATGTGCTCTTTAATATGGTAGTAAAAATGTCCGATAAAAATTTAATAAAGTGTAACTTATAGCGCCTTGAAAGTCATGGAGGCAAAATGACTTTTTTTTTTTTGGCCCCCCCCTGTAGTTTCCACAGATGAATCCTTTAACCCCCTTGGAGACTTCATTCGTGGTAGAGTTGCCCAACGCGATGAACATCGTGTCGAACCCTTAGCCATTTTTTCAGAGCTTTTTACGAAGAAGTCTGACTGTCCAGCAGGCGGTCGTCCAGGCGTTTGCTTGACTTTCTGCAGAATCCAGTCAGTAATCGCTCTGGTCCAGCGGTCATCCTCGGATCGCATGACGTGTCCGGCTTGCCTGGTCTTTGGAACCTTGGCAGATGTGACTGCCTCCCTGGTCTTTGGTCGTTGACGGACTGCGGAGCTCCGGATTCTTTCTCTCTCATTTGCGCTTGGTTGGGACATTCGAGACATTACTCGCGCTGCTCTAGCCATCCGCATGGCGGGACATTCTGAGACATTCCTGGCACCTGCTCTAGCCATTCGATGGTCAACAGGATTACAAATGGATATAGAACCCCCCCCCTCCCACTTTCAGTGCCTACCACCTTGGTGGGTGCCCATAATGGGCGCAGTTCGGCGACGAGCTCACTCTGGTGAAACCTGTGAACACTTGTATAGCTGAAGCAAGCTCGATGATTTACTATGGTAAAACATGTCAACTCGTGAAGAGACTGTCGATGGGTCAGCACGTCGATGGGAAGTAGCAGAAGTGCAAACTACCCCCCCCCCTTGCCGAACTGTGCTCCCACTTGGTCTCATTCTTGTAGGCTGTTTCCCGACAACTTGGTCGCTTCTATCGCCCTGTCAGCCACCGTTAGTACATTCCATATAAGTGAGTTGGGTAGGGCATGGCTGCGCACTTCATTTGAACATGACGAAACAGCAACCGCCACATCCAAATGAAGTACGCAGCCACGCCCATCCACATTCGGGATATGGGGTGTAGACCCTATTCTGGATGCGCTTGGACCGAATGTTTGAAGACCCGTCTCCGCCTATTTTCTTCATGTTTCAGAAGGAATTCACTTGTGCGTGTAGTCGAGCAATGCCTTTTTCCTTCTGTCTATCTCTTTCTTCTCAAAATTGCGTCTCGGGTGACCACAAGGTCACCTTGGAAGTGTTTATCTATGAAATCGATACTATTTACTACCTGTGCTTATCAACAGTGGCAACTCGTTAGGACTTCCGATAAGACTTGTTGATTTAGCCCGGTCGTCCAGCTATTTTTCAGTTTGGCACTGGGGTTCTAGCTGATCTTGCTACTATCTTACTCGGGCTTGTGGGACTTTTAAAGGCTCCTGAAGTATCTCTGGGAAGATTAACGACTTTTACGATGGGATAAATAATGCAGTTCTCGTCGGAATAGGAACAGCTGTGTTGTGGAAGGAGGGCAAGGAGGTGGCGGCGGCGGGGGGAACCCGGGTGGTCCCATAACACATCGGCGATCTACGCCTATCGCCAAACGCACGCATACACAGACAGACACCCATAGCGTGTGTAGATTTTGCTTTTCCGATCACTCTCTCCTATCGATCAAACGGCGCTGTTACATAGCTCAAACGGGGCCATCAGGCCTGTTGTTATCAGTCATTTAACCCCTAATCATTAGCCTGCACAAAAAACGATCACAATTTTCTGATTCTCATGGTCGAATGCATTCGTGACGGATCGTAAAAACCCACCCGCCATTGCCTTTCTAATTTGATTCGCCGTCAGTTTTCCGTTTATAAATAATTAGTATTGCTTCGCGATGTCCTCTATGGAATCTTCGTGCCGCTCATTTGGTTATTCTCACGTCCTTTTTTTCTACTCGCGTTTCAACGTGAGCTAAGATGCCCTCCTTTTCACCAATTCATTTTACTTCTCTTTTCTCTAATGCTTGCCTCCCTCGAGGTTGCTGTTATAAAAACGATAAAATCGACGACTACATTTGTTGATCACTTGGAAAATTTTCAATTTCAGGATTCAAAAGTTGAAATTTTACAGTTTTTAAATGGTGGTTCTGCTCCGAGGGTGCTTTTTGCAAAGTTATGTGAACTTCTGTAGAACTAGGGAAAATTGCGAGTTTCGTCTTTTAACTTTTTTGCGAAAATTAGTCCAACCACACCAGGCTCTTCCAAGTGGCTTAGGCTAACATACTCACCCTCCCTTACTCACATTCGTGAATTTCAACGTTTTTGAG